CGGCGGCAGCAGCGGCAGCAGCAGCAGTAGCAGCCCCTCCCACAGCTGTGGGCTCCCTCTCGGGGGCGGAGGGGGTGCCTGTGAGCTCTCAGCCACTTCCCTCCCAACCCTGGTGAGCTCCAACTTGGTTGCGGGGGAGAGGGGAGAATGGAGTAGAGTTCCCTGGTGCAGGCTCCTCTCCCCCCTCTTTTCCCACCAACTCCTATTTCCCCACCAACCAAGGAGCCTCCGGAAGGAAAGGAGGAAGAAATGTTTTCTTAGGGGAATTCGCTAGGTTTTAACGATTTGTTTCTCCTGCTCCTCTCTTCTATCAGACCTGACCCCACACAAACCTGTCCCCTCGGTTGTGTTGAAGTCCCCTGGACAGTGGGCAGGGTGGCAGAGGACACGAGCAGCCACTGCCCGTACCCCCTCTCCTCTCTGTAAGCCCATGCCCTGTCCTCCCAGGGACTTGTGAGCCTTTTCCCTCGAAGGTCCTCTTCTCTCCTTCCAGTCCTCTCCCCCTGCTGTCTGCAGCCCCTCCCCGGGGAGTTGGTGCTTTCTTTTTCCCTTTTTTTTTTTTTCCAGGGGGAGGGAGGAGAGGAAGGAGGGGGATCAGAGCTGTCCCGGAGGGAAAGCGGTGAGGTTTGAGGAGGGGCAGAAGCAGGGCCGGCAAAGGTTGTACCTTCATAAGGTGGTATGGGGGTTTGGGGTCAAGCCCTGAACATCGTCCTGCTTGAGAATCTGTCAGGGGAAAAAGTCAAGGGGAGCAGAAGGAGGAGCCAGGAGGGCCAGAGGCAGAGAAGAGATGGAGTCTTAGGGGCCAGGGTGAGCGAGGGATCCAGGGCCTAGAGGTGCTTCCTGGGGGCGGGGGAATGCAGCCAGTGTCCCCCTCCCCTTTTCCACCCCAGCTCCAGCCCTGGTCTTGTCTTTTCATCCCTCTTCCCCACGACAGAAGTTGTGGCCCTGGCCATGTCATCGTGTTCCTGTGTCCCCTGCATGTACCCCACCCTCCACCCCTTCCTTTTGCGCAGACCCTATTACAATAAATTTTAAATAAAATCTTGTTTCTGGCTCTGGATTAAATGAATTGCCATCACTAAGCACCTGCCCCCACCCCCAAAGGTTTGTTCTCGGCCAGGTGTCTTATCAGTCCAGCCTTGCTCTGCCCTGTGCGGCTGTGGGGTTCTGGCTCCGCCCTCCCCAGGGGCAGCCTTACTGGCGGCAGCACAGATTTAGGGCGGGGCCAAGGCTGTGGCTGTGGAGAGCAAGTTCCAGGTCTCTGGGGAATTCCCAATCGGGACAGGCCCAGAATAGCCCCTGGAGGTTTGAAGAGGCCCCGTTAGAAACCCAAACAGCTGCCAGACAGGAATGCCGCCATCCCCCGTCCACACCCATGACCGCTGCTCAGCCCCCAGCCGCATCCCTCCCTGCGCGCGTTACATCCCTGAGACCATGGTGGGTGGATGCGGCTGCGGAAAGGCTGGGGAGTCCGAGCCCTAGGACTGAGAGCAGCGAGGTAGAGAATGAAAGCTGCACCTGTCCCTCATTCTGGGCATAGGCCACCCCGTGTTTACACGGGCTCTTCTGCCCAGCCTCTCCTGCCCCTTGGAATTTCCTTTCCTGTCCCCGCTCCGTCCTTTCCAGGGCCCCTTTTTCGAGCCTTCCAGTGCTAGTTTCTGCTGCTCCTTTCTGCAGGGTCCATTCTCTCGAAACCCCACCCTGCTCCTCCTCTGCAGCCTCCCCGTGTCTTGCCCCATCTTCCTTCCCCTCCTCCTGCTCGTAGAGGCGCCTCCACCCGGTCCTGCCTGTCTCACTGGTCCCGTCTCCTCGCAGAACCCTCTCCGTTTTCCCCAACCCCCGTCTCTTCCAGGGATCCCGGTGACCGTTGGCGGGCGGGGCCGGGGACTTAGGAAGGAGGCGGGGGGCCCCGCCTGGAGGCGCGCGTGGGAAGGGGCAGGGAGGGGGCGCGAGTGGTCCACGGGCCGGTTGCCTGGGTAACGCGTGGCTCCCTTGGGGTGGCGGGAGGGGCCGGAGGCTCGCGAGGGGCGGGGGCGGCGCGCGACGGCGGCGGAGCGTAGGGGAGGGGACCGGAGAGGAGGGGATGAGCACACGGGAGGGGAGAGGAGGGGATGAGCACACGGGAGGGGAGAGGAGGGGATGAGCACACGGGAGGGGAGAGGAGGGGATGAGCACACGGGAGGGGAGAGGAGGGAGACCCGCCGCCTCCCTCCCTCCCTAGCTGACTTGCTCTCTCCGGGGCTGCGGCTGCTGCAAAAGCCAGCAGCGGCAGCGGGAGCTGTCCGGAGGCCGGCGTCGAGGTGAGACCCGGGCAGACTGAGGCTGCGGGTAGGAGTGGACCGACCGACGGCCGACGCCGGGCGGGCTGCACGGGAATGCGGGTGTCTAAAGGGCTGGTGGTGCTGGGCGGGCTGAACCCTTGGGAGGAGGCGCCAGCCCACCGAAGGCGAGGGAAGCCCCGGGAGAGGGGCTGACAGGGGATCGGAGGAAATAACCAGGTCCCCCAGGAAGAAGCGGGGGCGTCCTCGCCCTAAACGCGCAGCAAGAAAACCCGCACCGCCTGGGCGCCCAGGGAGGAGGGGAGGATGCGGAGGGAGTGGAATGCGAATGTCGGGTCCTCTGCCCAGTCTGCCTGTCGGAGTGCTGTTTGCACAGCTCGTTAATTTTGGGGTGCTGGGATCTGAGAGTCTGGATCTTGTTGGATGGACCCAGGGAGAGACCTGGAGAAGGTCCTGTTTCCAAAAGGGTTAATCTTCCCCAGGGCTCTCCAAGCAGAATACTTTGAGTAGAGCACTCCTCCCCCAGGGATGTCCCACCCTAAAGCAAAGGAAACCCCAACTTTCTTCCTCTCCCTAGAGGCAGTGCAAAGCTGGCCCTGAGACGGGAATGTGGCCCAACTGGGCCTGCAGTGCTGAACACCCTCTTCCCTCCTCACCCCAAGCCTATCTCCTCCTCTTCCAGGGTTTGCCGCTGTCTCTGCTATTCCATCCTCCCCAAAGGGGCTCTCTCCCCTCTCCCATCTCAAGATGGCAGCCAGCAGCTCTGAGGTCTCTGAGATGAAGGGGGTTGAGGAGAGTCCCGAGGTTCCAGGCAAAGGGCCTGGCCATTCTGAAGCTGAAACTGGCCCTCCCCAGGTCCTAGCAGGGGTACCAGACCAGCCAGAGGCCCCGCAACCAGGCCCAGATACCACTGCAGCCCTTGTGGACTCAGGGCCCAAGGCTGGGTTGGCTCCAGAAACCCCAGAGACCCCCGCTGGGGCCTCAGAAACAGCCCAGGCCACAGACCTCAGCTTAAGCCCAGGAGGGGAATCAAAGGCCAACTGCAGCCCCAAACAGCCATGCCAAGAAACAGTGTCCAAACCAGAAGTGAGCAAAGAGGCCACTGCAGACCAGGGGTCCAGGCTGGAGTCTGCAGCCCCACCTGAACCAGCCCCAGAGCCTGCTCCGCAGCCAGACCCCCAGCCAGATTCCCAGCCCACCCCCAAGCCAGCCATTCAACCAGCGCTCCCTACCCAGGAGGACCCCACCCCTGAGATTCTGTCTGAGAGTGTGGAGGAAAAGCAAGAGAATGGGGCAGTGGTGCCCCTGCAGGCTGGTGATGGGGAAGAGGGCCCAGCCCCTGAGCCTCACTCGCCACCCTCAAAAAAATCCCCCCCAGCTAATGGGGCTCCCCCCCGAGTGCTGCAGCAGCTGGTTGAGGAGGATCGAATGGGAAGGGCGCACAGTGGGCATCCAGGATCTCCCCGAGGTAGCCTGAGCCGCCACCCCAGCTCCCAGCTGGCAGGTCCTGGGGTGGAGGGGGGTGAAGGCACCCAGAAACCTCGGGACTACATCATCCTTGCCATCCTGTCCTGCTTCTGCCCCATGTGGCCTGTCAACATCGTGGCCTTCGCTTATGCTGTCATGGTGAGCCCCATGGGACCCTGGCCCAGGCCTGCTGTGGCTCCCAGCTTCCCGCCAGTGCTGTGACAGAGCCCCAGGAGTAATCATGCCTTCCTTACCCTCTCCTGTCTGCATGGATCCCACCTCCCCAATTCCAGGGCCTTTGTTTGCCTCTCCCTAGGACCTAACCCTCTGGGCCACCACTGCCCTGCCCCTTTGGGTGGGAGGGATATGGAAACACATGTGTGTCACAGCCTCGCTGACCTGTGCCCTCCTCCCCCTGCCCCTCCACTCCTTCCTCCCTTACCCGCCATCCATGGGGCTGGCCTCTCTCTTCTGGATGACTTTTCCACCTGATCCCTTCTGGGCTGGCTTCTCCTGACCCCGGCCATGTGCCTCCACCCCTCGCCCTAATCCCAGTCCCGGAACAGCCTGCAGCAGGGGGACGTGGACGGGGCCCAGCGTCTGGGCCGTGTGGCCAAGCTCTTAAGCATCGTGGCACTGGTGGGGGGAGTCCTCATCATCATCGCCTCCTGCGTCATCAACTTAGGCGGTGAGTGGGGGCTTGGGACAGGCAGGGGAGGAATGGAAGGGTTGGCAAGGGCAGCTTTACTAACCCCTGCCCCTGCTCTCTCCTGTCTGTCCTCCTTACCTCTCCTT